ATTCCTGAAAATGATTTTCGGGAAGGGGCTTTTGAATAGTTTGAGGAAGTAGCATGAGAAAAAAAGGATCGAGAACTTTCTATTTCTTGGATAGAAGGTCTAGATCTTTCTATTTCTTGGATAGTAAGTCTATTGGGCCTGTTGGAGTTAAATCTAACCTTTACTGTGCCATCAGAAAATTAAGATATTTGTTCCAACCTTTTATGCTCGATCTTTGAAGGAGGAGCTACATGCTCGAGAGTCCACTCTGTCGGGAAGGTGACTTCATTCCAAGTGATGGTCCTCGGAACATAAGTTTGTGAATTTTCGTCACTAGCATGAAGAAGAAGGGTTTCTCCTTTGGGAGACTCACGAAGAGCATGGGGGCTGACTTGGGTTATATAGACTTTGTAGTGGATTCTATAGACAACATTGAAGGGTATGGCTCCATCCATCATTTTGTAACCACTACTTGAAACATTGAGGGTTAAAGTATGGAGGATTGTTGGATCATCAAGAGCTACTGAATAATTTGGAAAACAATTGAAGTATTGTGGGCCATCAAAAAGACTAGTTTGGCAAACTCCTAACAGAGAGGTTCCAAAATCGAGATGCCTACAATCCCTTAGAGTAAGCATGATAGCAGTGTTAAGTCCCCTTGATGTAAGAGGTTTAACTGCAACTTGGACAAGCCCTATATGTAGGAATTTGTACTTCTTTTTGTGTTCTACTATGGCTCTTTTTTGCAAAAGTTGGATAACTTCAAAAGGGTTTTTGAGAGAAATAGTTTGTTCAACAGTTTTGATGGAGTATCCTATTTTGAGATTGAAAGTCGAAGATTTGTAAATATCCCTAATGGGAACCTTGGGTATATTCCAAGTATCCCACTGATCATTCTGACCACTATCACAGACACTTGGCGATCAGCTTTCTCGTGTAGAAACCTTGCTTCAGAAAGAACAAATTATCCCCATTCAATCTGATAATGCTCCCCCTTTCATACCCCATGAAATCCCCTTACACTTGTCCAAACAACTATCAAAACGTAGTGCTATTGAAGAAGCACAGGACAGGATTAAGCGTATCGAATCCCTTATGACCTCCACAACTACGATTCCTGATACGCCTGACAGACCTCTTAGAGCCATCAATACTCTTGACCAAGAAATTGGTACTGATACTGAAATTGATAAAATTACTGAGGTCTTCTAGAACCAACACGTCAATACTTTAGAACTAACTTCTTCCTGAAATTATTATCCCAGGCCAACTTTCCCTGACCTCCAGATCGAAGAACGAGGCCAGTTTTCCCAAGCTGCTTATCATAGTGGTACCATTTATGAATGGAACATAGATGGCAAAACTGAGTATCACATTCTCAATACACTTCAAGAAATGACAATGGTCAGCACTGCTTACAAAACCAAGAATGACTTTTCTGATCATGCTATAGCACAACTCCTTGTAGGAGGATTCACAGGCCAACTCAAAGGATGGTGGGACAACATCCTCACTCCAGATAAACGACAAGCCATTCTTAACTCTGTCAAAACAACTCCTGAAGGAACAATTATAAAAACAGAAGAAGGTGCAGATATAGAAGATGCAGTTGCTACTCTTATTTTCTCTATCGCCAAACAGTTCCTCGGTGACATCTCAATTGTTAGAGACAAGACCTCAGAAATTCTAGCCAACCTTCGATGTCGCAAACTTTAGGATTTCAGATGGTACAAGGATGTCTTCCTCTCAAAGGTCCTCACCAGGACTGATTGTAACCAAGCCTTTTAGTATATATATTAATATTTTTATATTTTCCTTTTCTTTTCTTTTTCCCTACGTTACTGGAATTGGGATTGGAATAGGATAGTATAGTTATACATATATAGAGGTTATGTTTGCCAAAAGGGTTGTTCAAAAACCCTATTCATGTTCATAATGGAGGCAGTAGTTTTAGAGAGAGAAACTAGAGGAAGAGAAGGAGGCTTGAGCAAGGAAGAAGGGGGTTTGGGTTTTAATCTAAAATCCTAAGGCAAGTTCTAATTTTGTCTCTTCTCCTTTGACTTGTGTTTCAGTACATGCTTAGTTCAATTCCAGGAACAATTAATGGGATTAAAACAAACCTTCTTACATGTTAAAAATCTAATTTTACAGTATGTTTATATATGTGATTGGTTTGTATAGTTTTTATTTAATTTACTGCTATGATGCATGACTTGTGATTTAATTTGATGTAAAGATGTTTGTATGCTTTAAAATCAATATGGGAGCACTCTAGGATGTAGTTGTAAAGCTTTAAACCTTCAACAATGGGAGTTGGAAGTAACAGAGCCGTCGAAGAAGAAGAAGATGGTGTGACGCGGAGGTTAGGTCGACTGGTGGGTTGTTTCGGCCGACCGAAGTGGCTCAGCAGTGAGGAATGGAGGAGGTATTTCGGCCGACCAAATTGGGTATTTCAATCGACCGAAATAGTTGTATCGGCTGATCGGTTTGGTATTACGATCGACTGGTTTGGCTCTGAGTCTGGATTTTTTTGGGGATTTTTGCATATTGTTCATATCTATATGACTATTGCAATTTATTTTAATAATTTAAATTGATTAATTAGATTCATAGAGGATTGGGAAAGCATAATTAATATTAATATGCTAATGATAGGAACAACATGTACTTTAATTTGATATATATGTTGTTGATGGAAGATTTAACTGAGGTTTATGATGTTTGTATGATTTAATCATGTATTGTTAGCATATTATGATCTTATACATGACTAATTTGTATTATGCTTATCTGTGGATTTTAATTGATGTAGTATTATATATATTTCATCAATTATGGATTGTACGATGTAATGCACCAGTATGGGATGGTGGCATTGTAGGGACGGATTAACTTATCAATTAAGTCATACCTATTATTATGTAAAGGGATGGATTAACCAAAAGAATGTTAAGTCTTACCTATTTTTAAGTCAGGTCAACTGAACAAGTTGAATGATGATTACTTTATACTGGATAGGATGGTTAATGTATTTATATATATTTAGTTATGAGCCATAATATGAGCTTGAGTCTCAAGATCTATGGTTAGGGCGCGTATAATGTCAGGGATGTGTAGCTGGACATAGTGTAGTTGTGTACCCTAGTAGGTTTAAGTACCCATACCCACTATAAGTGCATTTTTGTATTTTGCCTACTATTCAGGTTGAGACAACCCTATAATCTAGTAAGGTTCCTTTAGTGTGTGTGTATATATATATATATACGGACTATATAGTTATTATTGAATTAACTAGGATGTACATGTGTATCGGGTCTCTGTTTGGGATGTAGTGGATTAGAACTTATTCGTGGGCTTGACCCACTATTATTTTTCAGGTGTTCGCCAGATCCAGTTATAGATGTGGTTTATGCTGAGCAGAGACTATTCATTCACCTTCCGATTCGACGTAGGAGTCTTCATTATGTTTTAGTATTTGGTTTCAGTTTTATTTCACTTTTGTTTGGCTTCAGTTGGATTATGATTACATGATGGATTCCCAAGTTGTAACGAAATTAGATGTTTTGGATATTGTCATTTAGAGGATTATTAAATTATTTATTTAAGGGGTTATTATTTAGTTTTCTTTTCTGCTTATTTATTTATTCTTATTTAATTTTTTTGTAGTCCATGCTTGTTTAAATATTAATTGTTTAATATCCTTCGGTTATGTACTCGGACTTGATCACCCGTGACTCTAGAATTGAAGGGTATCACAGCTCTAAAAAGGCTTTAATGAACTGTTTTTAGCCCATTTGAACCTTATTGATCTGAAATTGACAAAAACACAAATTACGACTAAAACGGAAAAATAAAGATAGATGCAAAGTCTAAAATATCCGAGATTAGGGTTGAAATGTGCAACATTTCAGTACTTATCAATTGGCCTCACAGCTCATCACAATCAAACTGGTACATCGGCGATCTGTTCCCTGCAGCAAAGTATCTTCTGGTGTTAATTGCAAGAATGTTGAGATTTCTATAATTGATGGCATATGATGAAATAACATAAACTAAAACTGGGCAAGTCATTGTACGCTAATTTGAAGTCCATTCCAGTACAACGAATAGATTATTTTCAAAAGATATTCTGAGATTGTATGTAAGGCTGCCTTAATGAAGATAAGAGGACAGTAAAAACCCAAATTGTGATTGTACATGTCTAAAATTCTTGCAATTTTGGCTTATTAATGGTTGCGTCGTTTTGCCCGTCTTGTATATGTTCTTCAAGTTAAATGCTTTCTTTAAGGGTACTGCTGCTAGGGTTTCGGATGGAGGTTGGATATGGAGATAGAGAGATTTGATTTGTCGTGAAGAGAGAGAGAAAGACAACAAAAAAAAAAAAAAAAAAAAAAGGGAAAGAAAAAACGATTTAACCCGTAAAAAAAGGGTAATGCCCATCTTCAATTTTATTTTTTATTTTTTAGACACATGTTCCAATGACATTAGATCACATCATATGGAGGATATAAGAAAATAATAAAATGAATAACTGTAATAATAAGATCTTAACAGTAATAAAAAATCAAGGAAAAATAGATAGTAATATTTAAATTAATATATTAAATATAGAAATGCCTAGTTTATTTATTGTACTTTTTCCTTTTATGTCCAATTTGTATCGGATTTGTATCGGGTATTCACGTTAAATTTGAAAGGTCAAAAATGTAATTTCAAGAATAATCAAATGTCCTTCATTTTATCACATGTTACTTGTGTTTTTTATTTATTTTTTATTCTCCCTATTTTATTTTTATTTCCAGATTTATCAAAATTTGGAGGGACAAAAATGTAATTTACTCCTTCCAATTGATTTAAGAATCTTACGGTAAATATATACACCTGCATAGCATATTAATTGTGTTTTATTCTCTCTATGTTTTTTTTCGCCTATCTAGGTTTATCAAAATTTGGAGGGACAAAAATGTAATTTAATCCTTTCAGGTGATTTAAGAAAAATATCAGAAGGGTAAATAAAGCAGTAGTGGCTGTGCCCAGTGCAGTAGTAAGATGTTTAGTTTAGGGTTTAAGCATTGCTAGGGTTTCTGAGGCTTGTCTCACATGGTGATTGATTAGCAAAAAACCCTAGCGATATCTGTTTTTATCTCTCTAGGGTTTTTCTCTCAGATGGAAGGCGTCGATGATGATTTCGGCGATATATACGCAGAAGTTGAAGTTCAAGCAAGTACAGCCATCAATGGCTTCCCAAACCGCACTCAATCATACACAGAACAATATGATATCAACACCAAATGTTCTGAATCAGATGTAAATAAAGACGATTCGATTGGCGACGATTCAAATCAGTTTGGCGATGAGACGAATGAAATTTCGAGTGTGGAGGCCAATGGTGAGGAGCAGGAGGAGATTGTGGATAATGGAAGCGATAGCGAGGACGATTTGAATATAGTTTTGAACGATGATGCTAATGGTGTGGCGTATCCGATTGGGCGGAGTGCGAATTTGAGGAGTGGAGGGTTTGATGATGAAGAAGAGGAGGAAGGTTGTGATTTTGCAGCTGCGGAGGGGAATGGTTCGGGTAAGAATCGGAAATGGGTTGATCAATCCCAGATGGGCGATGGATTGGAGCAGTGTTCTAATGGTACTGGTGGCGGTGAGAGGGGAAATCTGGTGAAGGGCGGTTATCGTTCACAATACAAGGTAGTGTTAAATGTTATATATATATATATATATGCACATATTCGGATGTAAGAATTTGTGTTATAGGATCGAACTTGGTGTGAATAAAATTGTAATAAAATTGTCAGAGTTTATCAAATGTTTGAATTGGGAGCATTTTTGGATTTAAATGCATGGTCTCTTGGGAGGAAGCAGTGCGGTCACTTAATTCCTGATTAAGTTTTACCTTGTAACTGGACTCATTTCAATTAATAGAACTCTCAGTTTAGATGATAAAGATTGGTTATTGTCTTTCCTTTTTTCTTTCTCTCTTTTTTTTTTTTTTTTTTTTGAGATTCTTTTATTTTATTATGATATGATTATGACATTTACATATGAGTTCTCTCTATTTCTCTGTAGCAGTAATATAATCATCCTACCTGAAGCAGCTGTTTATTGTTATTTGCAATTAATGATTTTTCACTGGGTTTTGTGTTGTGTAGTACTTAAGATATCAGACAGCAGCTTATCCTTGTAATTCAAAAGCCAATGGATCCATGGGTTCAGCTTCCTACTCTTCCACCTTGGCTAGAGGCAATTGGGACAATAATGGGTCCAGTCAACATATGGGCTCAAGCTCAGTACTAACTCAAAGTGGATACAATTTCTCTCTTCCCTGGTATAGGCAAGTGAATTTGGTTATGATCTTGATTGTACTCAAGCTGGGTTCTTTGGCAAACTAGTGGTTGTTTATGTCGTGATATTGTGATATGTCAAATGTATAATAGAACTAATATTAGGTAGGATAATGTAAGCATTCAATAGTTAAAAATGTACTGATGTTAGAAGCACTATCTTTCTTACCACATTTATGAGAAAAAAAAGGATAATGTGTATGGTGAGATGCTGAGAACAAATGCTATATGAGATTTCTGGTTCCCATAAGGGCCACTCTTGGCATTAGCGTAACACTTATTCTCTTCTTGATTCATGTCATTAAAGGTTTTCTGTATGCTGTTGATTAAGTGGCATCCCATTTTTTCTTACAGGACTATACTAGATATAAATATTGCTATGTTCGAACAGAGGCCATGGAGGCATCCTGGAACTGATATAACAGATTATTTTAATTTTGGTTTCGACGAGGAAAGTTGGAAAAGTTATTGCAACTGTCTGGTAAATGAATTTTCTTTTAATTTTACCTTCTAGTAAATTTACATTGCTTGTCCGTAAATACCAAGGTTAGTCTTCTTGGGCATACATGTGTATATTAGCTGGGGTGGGATTAGATGTTGCTGCTCCATTTCCAGTTGATTTGTTGTTATGCTGTTGATGCACTCAGCATACAACCAACCTGGTTTACTTTAGTTTACTTTCCTCCCTACTCTTCCTTCTTTCTGACAGAGGCCTTATTCTGAGTTGTATAACAGGAGCAATTTCGGCAGCAAACATCCATTCAAACCAGGAACCTCTTCCATGAGCCTTCAGAACCTAATGAGGTGGGTTAGTAAAATATTTGTGGAAGATGTTAATTTATGAAGTTTGTTACATGTACTTTTTTAAAGATATATCTTAGATTGTTCTGTTATTATCTTCTTCATTTTTCAGAAGGCATCTGAAGTTGGATCCAAGCACGAAACAGTAGTTCCAGAAGCTGTGACTGAAAATATTGCTCAAACTGGACAGGGAAGAACAGTTTCTCCTTCACCAAGAATTGCTTTTAGGAAAATGAAGCAGTTACAAATGGTACTTGTAAATCAGAAGTTGCTTCTATTTTATGACTTTTATGACATGTAAAAGTTATTGTTCGATTAAGTTACATGCTCAAATAAATGTCTATAAACTAATTGGGAATAATTATGTTATGAATTCACTGTAATTATTTCAGCCAAAAGGTAGAGCAATTCAGGTCAAAGACAGCATTGCAGAACGCCAACCATCCTTTGGTGTAAGGCGTCCACTTGATCTGGATTCTGATGTGGTGATACAGGTGTGCTTTCACTCTTGATCGGTCCAAAGCCCTTACAGTAATGATTTCTCTTTATTCATTACTTATGGCTTGGTTGGGTCCAGATTGCTGTGCAGGACTCCATGAAGGATTCCACTGATTCTGAGGAGGAACTGGGACATATCAATAGCTCTGTACATAAAGCATCTGAAAATGGAGATCTTTGTGTGGATGACAACAGGGATTTTCACTCTTTTGGTAGTCCCAGTAGCGATGATTTACCCAGATCACATGCAGCTGTTCCCAAAGTGTATGAACCATAGTAGGCAGTGGTGTCATACCATTCTCAGTTCACTATTTTATTTCAATTCATAAATATACATTTAGATTCTAGGTGTAGTTAATTGCAAGTTGCACATCTGTTCTATCAATATCGATATTTTCTTAAGGTGCATTGTTAGGGGTGCATCTTTTAAATCTAATAAGGAATACTATATGTTGGATTTGGCTATTTGATTAAGACTAGTAGACGCAATAGTGCATACCAAAAATGATTTGAAATGCATTTCAATTGGAAGAATACTTCAGATTTGACATTGTTATATCTTATGGTACAGGCACACACACACACACGTTTGTCTATCTAAAGGCTTACAAACTTTATAATTTTTGTTGTCGTATTTGTTAAAAATTACCATTTAAAATATATATATATATATATATATATATATATATATATATATATATATATATATATATATATTTATCTCAAATACACATGGGTTTTGCATATTAAAACATGTGGAGAAATTTAATTATTGTCATCCCAGATGATGTGGGTCATTGTGGTCTGATATGTGTGCATCATTACCCTTCTGGATAACTGATTTCAAATTCGATCCTTAGTTTTCTCTGCTGCATCATATTTGGAAAGATTTGACTAGTTTTTTTTGGGGGTTCTAACTTACCAAATACATGGCTGAAGGCCTTTGCTGTTGAGCTATAGTTTTCTGGGATTTTTTATCTTATCCTAGCTCATTCTTGTATAAATGTTTGCTTGTTGAGTGATGGGAATGGCTTTGAATACACTAATAAAGAAATACAACTATATGATCTTTTTGGTCAGTTTCTATAAGTAAGGCTCAATGGTGGCATTAATAGCTTTGCTTTCTTTTTGAACTGGTTTGGACTGAATGTATGAGAATTATGGTTAAGGAAGTTAATTCGATTTTTAAATGTTGATTTTATATGAAACCACTTATGGAGATGTTTTCTTCTTTAATGACTAGGTGTTCGCAACAAACAACTGCATCCGACCCAGTGTCAATGGATTCAGATGACCATGGAAGTGGTCATATCTCCGATGTGAACAGGCATCACCATCAAAAGGTGACCATATGTTCTTCAGAAGAAGATGCTGAAGCAAAAGAAACTTCAAATAACACAAGGGAAAGGTTTGGCAAGGATATCTGCAACGAATCAGCCCTTGCTAAGCAGTCTCAACGTTGCCCAAGTTCTTCATCTGGAAATCACAGTGAAACACCCCTTGATCGTGGTTATATTGATCCCGGAAAAGTTCATAATAACCTAAGAAAGTCATCATCAAATTCAGTCACTGAGTTACAGAAGTCAATCACATCTGACCGCTATCATATCAAGGATTCTAAAACACATGGTGTCAAAATGAAATCAAATGATTGTATCCTTCGTTCAAGAAATAGAAGTCCCATCCGAAATGATCTGAAGAATTATAATAGGAAACTTCATAGTATGTCTGAATTGTCTGAACTGAGGAGCTATACTGATGATGGCGATGCCTCTCCTATATCTAATACTGGCAGATTGTATAATGTAGATCATTCAACAGTTGGCCGTAACAGAAAGAAGGAAAGGCTGCAAGGTCCTGATTCTTATAGTAGAAAACATTTCTCAAATTCCCGGGAATCAGAACTTTCCTTTGATTACTCTGGGGAAAGGTTTTCTAACAACGAGGTTCGAACTTCTTACAAAAGGAATCCTCGTAGGAAAGGATGTCAGATATTTGGAGATGAGATTGATCGGCATCTCAGTGGAAAGTTGGATGAGGAGGAATATTTTCTTGAACAAAAACTACCTAGGGTGGATGAAGCAATGGATGGAGATTGGTATCATTATGGACCGGGACACAATATTGATGACATGGGCCCTCTCACTTACAGGGAGTCTAGAAGGATGGCTTTAAAGCATTCGTCTTATTTAGATAATGAAATAGGTACTAGATGGAGAAGGAGAGGAGATGATCTGCAACATGGAAATAGGATGGAAAATAACGGTTTTCCTGATGATTGGAGATTTACAGATGATTTCATACAAGAAAATTTCCGAAGATCTATTTCATATAATGTCACGGAAAGAGATTATCTGGATGATAATTATGAAAGACATTTACATTGTACAAGAAGAGAAATTAAAAGCTCTTGCAGAAGAGAGGGGAAATATGGTGTTCGCTCTGATGATTTCAATAGTTTGTCTATAGTTGACGAGGATGACTACTGGAGATGGCCAGATCATCAATCGTTGTCCTCTAATTCTCACAAGGATCCTGATACTATCAATGGAGGAATATGGCATGATGCCTCGTCAGTGAAAAATGATTCGAATGAGTATAATTTGAGGAAAATTAAAGAAAATGGTAGAGTTAGGAGACACATACAGACTGAGACATGCAGAGACACAGATTGGCCCGGTAGTTATATTGAAGTTTTTGACACAGAAGATAATATCAACTTGCCTGATGATCAGGTTCATTTCGAAAGAAGGCGGCATTATTTGCACTCTGAAGTATTGAATTGGACTCAAAATAGTTATATATCTGGCCATAGGGATGAAAAATTCCGTGCCGACGAGGCATCATTTTCCACTAGAAGGACTTCAAGGCCTAAAAGGCTTAATGATGCTAGGCATGGACCCGACCATGCTGGGAAGCTAATTGATGACGGGCATGTAGAGTGGCACAAAAGCAAAATACTAGGAGAAGGACATAGTGGTATCCATATTGATGGAACTTCTAATGTTATTCATAGAGGTAATTATGAGAAGACACACCCGGCATGCAGGGATTCAGTTGACATGCACTTGTTTGTTGGGGAAGGAAAGGTAAAGTTGGGGAAACTGAGGTCAAAATCTTGTATCTTTGTTCTTGTATGCACGAGTGCTCCACGTATGTTAAAGCAAGTCTTCTTTTGTTCATTAATATTATCCCGTTGCATCTTTCTTCTAGGAATTCTGTTTATTTATTTATTATTATTATTATTTAATTTTATCCTTTTGACGTAATCTGTTTTTTGTGCTTTTTTTATTTCTGCCGTGTTGGTTTGTCCTTTATAGTTGCCACTTGAGCCAAGGAAATTAGCATTCTAAGCTGAATATGTGAAGCATGTAGAGAGTATATATATACAAAAAGAAAAGGATCCATAATCATCAATCAGACACTTTTGGCATTTATTCTGCTAATTACTGATTTTGTGGGCATGAAGCCAGTTACTTCACCTTCTGGCATGGTAGCTCTTTTCCAGTGATTCAATGTGGAGTACAACTGTATAAGATTAAAAATATCATCCTTCTCAATGTTGTTCTCTCTTTCTAACAAATGTATTCACTTGTTATACATTTGATTTCTCATCCTTCTGATGTTGCATGTCAAACAAGAATGTTTTAATAAAAGTTTTCAATAGTAATGGAATTTATTCCACTACTTATTACTGATTTTGTTGGCATGAAGCCAGTTACTTCACCTTCTGGCATGGTAGCTCTTTTCCAGTAATTCAATGTGGAGTATAACTCTATAAGATTGAATGTCATCCGTCTCGATGTTGTTCTGTCTTTGTAAGTTAGATGTATTTCACTTGTTATACATTTGATTTCCCACCATGTTGCATATCACAAAAGAATGTGTTAATAGAAGTTTTCAATAGTAATGGTACTAATGGTGCTTCGTTCTTACACCTGATAGTTTACACTCTGTCCTCAGCTTGAATTTGTTTAAATATTTTGTTTTGAGCATTTCTTTTTGTATTAATATTTTCTGATGTTTAAAGGTTCTAAAATCTCAGTGTAGTTCCTATACCATTTGTTCTTCTTGGCTTCACTTGTTCAAGTGGAATATTTCTGTCATCACGCTACGTTAAACATTCACTGCTTGGCACAAAATATTGCTGCCCATGATGGTTGTGGCGCAAAATGTTTTTTTTTTTTTTGCAAGGTAAAGCAAACTCACACACACACTCCTCCACTGAGGCTCGAACCTAGGACCTCCCTTTGGGAAGCTTGGCCTTGGTACCGCTGGGCCACTTGGCTCTTTGGTAATGGCGCAAAATGTTGATATGTAGTTAGTAACAAACTTTATTATTGGTAATAAAAAATTCAAAATTCTGTCAGTCTCCCAAGTCTTTTGAACAATGGCACTCTTAGAGGTGCTTGGTGCAAAGGTTCAAGATTTTGCTAGCAAGCATGAGGCTGTGGGTTTGAGTTTGGGGTAGCCACCTTGTGCAAAACTATGCCAAAGGTTAAGGGCCTGTTTGGTTCAGTTTCTCCAAAAGTATAAAACAGATTACCATTCTCGGATAACTACAAGAGATTATTCTCTGTAATTAGGCCTTCTTAACTCAGTTTTCAGAAAACAGATTTTTAAAATTGTCAATGAAATGAATTTTCTAACTATTTTTTGTTTTCTGTTCTATGAAAACAAATACCATTCTTTGAAAACTGAACCAAGCACGCCCTAAGTCTGTCTCTGGTCTTCTCCTCCCAATATCGTGCTTTGGCAGGTTTAGCACTGGGTAATGTCCCTCATCTTTTTGTTGCATGTTTCCAATTAATTATTTTTATATATATGTATATATTCTTTTTCTCTGTATGTGCGTGTATTCTTTTCAAGAATGCTTTCATTAAATATACTGTAGAAAAATTTCTTTATCCTTGTTTTTGGTCTTTCAAACTTTATTCTCGTTAGGGATTTTTTTAAATAATACAAATGATGTTTCTTTTTCTTATGATACCAAAGCTTGTTCATGCTTTCCTCGTAGTGCTTAATATAGTTCATCTACTTTTTGAATAATGAGGATTTTTTTGAATGAGATACTTTACTCATGCAAATTGGCCTTGCACATTTCCTTTCATCAAAGTCTCTTGCCAGTTTGGCTTATGTTGGAATGAAGGATTACAAGATCTGTGAAATGAATCCAGAAAACTAACATTGTGGTGCATAAGTTTTTTGTGGAGCTGTTAATCAGTTCTATAATATTTCACAATGGAGGAAAGGTGTTTTGAATTTAATACGTTTTATTTCTCAAGTATTTTGGATCGCCACTTTTTGTGCAATATGCCTGGTTATTCATGTCCCCTTCACTCATGTTGTGAGCTCTTGATCAATTGCATAATCTTTCACAATGTAGGGAAGCTGGTTTGAATTATATATATTTTTTGCTCAAGTATTTTGGTTGGCCACTTTCTGTGCATTAAGCTGGTTAATCATGTGTCATCGACCTCCGATCGTGAAAATTGTTGAATGTACTGAATATCAATCAGCATCACGATTTTTTAAATAATTCAAGCCCCATAAACTTTTTATAAATGTGACTTCTTCCCAATCAAATAAACAGTGTGTTGGATGAGCTTGTAGTATAATTGTTTGTGGGAGTAGAAAACTGAGTGTTTGGGTTATTACTCATTGCAACTTTGGTTGCTTTTATGTTAGTAACCTGCTTCTATGTTGGCATTCTTTAGAAATCTTCTTCTTTTTTTTTTCTGTTTTTTTTTTTTTTTTTAAAAAAAAAAAGAAAAAAGAAAATTGAAAGTCTATGATCATGAATTCATTGTGAAACCTTATAAATTTAAGTGAAACTGATGGCTAAGTGAGGCATCAAGGCTGCAATGTTACCTTAGGATTTTCTAAATAGCAAAACATTTGCATATGCGTAATTAGTGAACCTATCATGTGGCGTAAGGAGAGGTTTTGTGAAGTCTATTTGAAGTTTCAAAGATCCTATTATTGTTCTCCTTGGTGGTTCTTGATTTAAAAATTATACAAGCACATATTTTTTTGCATGCATGTGTTTGTGTTCTTTGCAATTTTTATATCTTTTACCCATTTCCCACTATATCTTGCTCCCAATCATTTCCATTATTCTTTTAGTTTTCCTCAAATGCATACTTTATGATTTTCTATGCTGCACTTAGCTTAATTATCCTTATATTTTGAGAGTAACAGTTCTGCATGACTTGTTCTGATGTCATTTTGTTTTCTGTTGTATATGTTTCCTGAAACTAATTAGTCTTCAAACTTGTATTCATTTTTTATTTCTCTCCTTGGAAGTTCTTATTGAAATACATCTTGTCAAAGGTTGATTAATTCCTTCGTGATCAAACATGCATTAAATGTCACAAGTTTGACCTGTCAATTGGTCAAGTTGTGTTACCAATAGATTTCGATTTTCATATCTATAACTAATACATATATGATGGCTGTCTATTTATAAGTATTTACTTCTTGGAACCATGAAAATGAATTGACTTGTTTCCTTTATATTGGCACGTAAGTTCCTTTGATTTTGCCTGAAATTTGTTGCCTTCATTTTCCAGCATGAAATATTAACGCATGATTTCATAATTTTTATCTTAAAATGAAGGAATGTGGTTTATGAAAAGGTGAATGGTGTGCCCTTTATTAGTGGTAGTATTACTGATGGATCTGTTTGAGGCTATATGACTTCAATTTTAGCTTGTATTATTCAGATGTGTGTATAATTAGTTATTTGGCTGGGGTATACGTTCCAAAATAATAAAAAAGTATGATGTTTTAAGAGTGATTAAGGTCTTGTTTCCTTCATATAAAAAAACACTTAAATTAGACCATGAAAGATGTACGGATCAAACAATAAATACTTGGACCATTGCAAAATTATGGGGTTGAGAAAAATGTTGGTCTGAACATGGATTACTGTTCTACTTTGATCAAGAAAATGTATACGTATGCAGTAAATGGCTTACCCCCAAAATAGCCGATCCGGTTCCTCCACCGCTGCAAACCCCTGTTAGATTCAGGCATGATACACATTTAGGGGAGAACCCAAGCGCTCTCTTTTGGATCTAGGAAACAATTCTCATGGTTCGTTTGGCAGCAAAGAAAAAATTTGGATGGAAGGGAGAGAAAAAGAGATCGATGAGACAACCCTAGAGGAGATGGTGTCCTTTCCACTTTTTGTTCGGTTGGATGGAAGAGAAGAGAATAAGCTCACAATTTACTGGGTTCGTTAGGAGAGAAAGGAAGATAGAGTTTTAAGTTCGGATAGTAGTATTTTAGTGTTAGTAGAATTTAGCATCGTAGTAATTTAAAACTTCTATAATAGTTCCACTTGTTTTCCCTTCTTTCTTCCGCCCATATTTGGAGGGATAAAAATTTGTAAAGGAGGAAAGATAACTCATCCTTCCTATTATCCTTTCTCTCCTTGTCTCCTCTCTACTGAGCGAAGGAAATTTGTTCCTTCCTTCATATCTTCGCTCCACACCCTTCCTTCCTTTGTACCAAACAAAGCACCAGAGATCTTTATTCCTTTCGAAAGATACAGGAGCTAAACAATCAACCTATTGATATTGAAATACCCAAAGGATTCTTCAAATATATCATTTCTGCGTCCAATTGGATTTATAGGTATAGGTATAGGAAGAAGCCCTATTAAATAGAGATTTTTTATTAAATAGAGATTTTTTATTTCAATCATATTCCGATTGGGACTGACTTACTTTTTAGAGTATTGTAAGGTAGTTGTTTTTGCAAGCCTATATTGATGAGTTTGTTGATTTTTTGGGTTCCTTGAGTCCTTGGGACTTCTTTCTTTGGCTTCGGCCTTTGTGAAGTTTTCAGGTTGCGTACCCCTATTGAATGCTTTCTAATATATTCTTACTTATAAAAAAAATAAAAAAATAAAAAGAAATGAGAAAGATGCATTAAACTTACCAAAAAAGGAAACAATATGATTCATTGAATATTTACTCCAAGAATTTACCATTAGAACGAACAAGTTTAGTTTTCACTTTAAGTTGCATGTTTGATTTTTGACAAGAATTAGTCATGTAATGATAGAAAGCCTTGTCCATGCATGCCCCAAAACTTGCCATATTTTCCATCTAGCCTTAAAGTTATCATGTAAATTAATTGGTCGCACAATTAATCAGGTTTGTTATAAAGGTTGTTACCTGGTATGGCCCCCATTAATCAACAATGCTCAGAGGGGTAGACTAGATGAGGGTGACCCCCTTTTTCCTTGTCACATCTGATACCTCTTCCTGAAACTGCATATTGAATTTGACTTGCATCCTGTTAGATAATTGACGGAGACCATTGAAAAGGTTTTTATTTTTTTATTTTTTATTTTTATTTTTATTTATTATTTTTATTTTCTTTTTATCATTTTAACTTAGATATTTACTTTCTGAGTCTAGCTAGTGCCTTTGAATTGTTGTATTGAGTTCTATGAGCCATTTATGGTGCATCTGGAAAAGCTTAGTTTGTCAAGCTTGAAAATGAAAGTTTGTCTCTTAGGGAGACACCTACTGGAGGGGTAGGGGTTTAATTCTAATTGTTGTCTATTCAAAAGGGACATCAAATGAAGGAACAAGATCAAATTTGGGGTTGGCAAATTTAGGCATTTTGGAATTGAAGTGCCAATATTTTGGTTCTTGCAGTCTGGATCTGAGATTTGTTACAATAAAAGCTGCAGTAGATTGGAAATTTAATTGTTAGAATTTGTTTTGAACACAGTTTATCATGTTTAGAATTTCTAGTAAGACTGTTTTTATTTTTCTAATTTCCTTTTTTGTGTTATTTTATTTTATATTTTTTATTGTGTGTAAAGCATACTTCTGTAAGTTTTATTCTGTGTTACAATATGCTATCCCATTCTCATCTTCCCTCGGTTATGTTTATCTGGAAGCTGTTTGATTAACTTTTTTAGTGAGTTTTGTCCATATGATGTGTGTGTGTGTATATATATATATATATATCATATGCTTTTGATATATATATATATATATATATATATATATATATATATATATATATATATATATGTATATATATATATACCAAGTGTATCATGAGTTTCACGGATGAAAAATCTCTGTAGCTTAGAGCTGGCTTTGCTATTGGGGATCATCCTTTTTCTTTCTCGCCTTGTTTTCTTTTATTTTTGTTTTCCCCAGTGAGGTCGAGTCTTGGATGAGTTTTTTTTAGTGTTCCTTCTGGTATCTATTGAACACAGCTTTAGAGTCCTTAAGATATATAAAGAAAATGCAAATTTGGCTCAAAAAGTTATATAATAAATGAAGATTTGTTCAAACATGGAAATTGAACCATTTTGAAATTTGAATATAACTAGCTACTTGACTTGAGTTCATCTCTGGCTTTCAACTATATTTTAGATTGTCTGAATCATTGGTTAATTGTCTGCATCATGAGGTTCCCTTATTTGTATCTCAATCTGTTCTTTTCATTCTATCTTTGATGGTTATAAATTGGTAAATCTTCCCGCTTGACAGGAACAAGGCTATGAAAGATGATAACATTAGGGAGATTTTAAGAATTTTGTTCATTTTGCTGTGTAGTTTCTGAGTTTTTAGGAGAGCATGTGCACTATGGATGGAGATGTTCCTGTAGACTTATTATAGTAATAGGTTTTACATGTCAAGAGGTAAAAATTTCCAAGTTTCTTTATGAAGAGGTAGAGAGGCGAATAATGAAAGACATGGCAGGAGGGAGTGGCCTGTTAAAACGGATATGACGATGATGCGCAATGTAAATACTTTGGAGAATAACTCGTTTCATTGTGTTTGAGGTTGAAAGCAGAAGTGATCATCTGTTGGTGTTTTTGTTTCAACTTCTAGTTGATTGTTGATTTGGACCTCTTGATATTCGGAGGATTATAGTTCAATTTTCTTAGCATAAATTTTCAAGTTTGTTTATGAAAGGAGGTAGACCTGGCATGAGAATTTAGATTGCTGGAGGTCCCTAGAGAGATCTTTGACTCTGGTAAAATGTCAACCTGCGATTTTGTCTTTCCAAATATTTCAGTTAATGAGTGATTTTGGCTTAATAATTACTTATCCTAAGATTTAATTTCCTTAATTTATGATAACCTTTAATAAATGTGTCTATTTTAGAGCATTTAGATTTTCTAACCTTTGAACTATTCTGCAGCCAATTGCCTTATTTATTTATTTATTGTTATTTTTTGATAAGTAAGGTAATTGCCGCCTTTACAAGTCCATCTTATATGCCAACAGGAAATGTAGAGAAAATTAAAAAATCTTTTCGTTCTCAATTTGTAAATTTTGTGCTACTCGAGAGAATAAGAGGAAGGAATGAGGCAGCAAACACTGTACATTTAAAGTTTTAATGAGATATACTCTTTATATCTATCAAAAAAAAGGAAAGAAAGGGGATATACTCTTTATCATATTGTCTCATGATATATTACTGTTCTTTATATGCTATGTTTTTGGGCACATACAAGAACTATTCCCAAGGACTTGAACAAACAATATCATATCCTCGCTGCACTTTGACTTACTAAGCTAGAGCTAGTTGGTAATGTGCTTTTCACATTGTGATCTTTAGAATACCTGCTTGCTGTTAGGTTATTTAAATTTCACCACATTCTTGGACATCTAAATTTTTTATTTGAATCTCGTGTGATATCTTTACAGAGTTCTATTGCATTGTACTGCATCTGAACAGCTCCTTTGGTTGTATGCGTTCATCATACTTCCAAACGTGTGCAATCACAATTATGTCATGTTACTTAAGCTCATTGTCTTATTATTCCTTCTCTGACACTAAGATTAGATCTCTTCTTTCGTGGGTGGAAAATTGTGACGTATACTGATGGCAATACGCTTTGCAGTCCTCTGGAAGACGCTTCACGGCTAGAAGTTCAACGTGCAACGATAAGCAAAAAAACATGGATCCAGATATTTATACCAAGCAGAAAACTTTCAAGGATTCCAATGAATCTTACACGGAGGCAGGCGAAAATGACGACCGAAAAGTTGCAATCAGCCAGAAAGATGAGAATTGGCATGATAAATACCCAGTTATGCAGCACAACGAAGCTTTGGATATTGAGGAAGGTCAGATAATAACAGCAGAATTAAATGAGAACCTTGTGGAAAAGGAATGTGCAACTGAAGCTGTGGCACCGATAATGGATGTGAAGAGAACCATGGATCATGAAAATGTACCAGATGAGAATAGGGTTGTTGGGGACTATGACAACCATCGGATTCTTGCAATGCGAGCAAAGATGGAGAAACGGAGAGAGCGCTTTAAGGAGCCCATCACTCTGAATAAGGAAATGGAGAAGATCCCCAAGCCTCCAGCCGACCTGGTAGTTGAAACAGCTGAAACTAAACAACGAAGGCCAGTGCGAAAGCGGCGTTGGGGTGAAAGTTAGGTCCCTAACATTACATGTGCATCTCATGGCTTATATATTGGGAATGACTCGAGCCAGTAGGTTCTCCTCCGAATGGTTGACTGGAGGAGGGCTATGGTGGAGAAATGCCCTGCCGGAATATTTCTTCCAGACATTCAAGGTATAGTTGAGTTTGAGAATTAATTTGTTTTCTGTATGTAATAAAGGTTAATTTTCAGTATAACCTCAGTCAAAATTCATAATGATATGGGGGTCTTCCTGCTCCATATCACAAACGGCTGTAAAATGTTCTCTGATGTTTGCAAATATAAAGCTGGTGTTAGGCTTTTAGCCAACCGTTTTAATGAATTGTTCTTAGCTTGATTTTCTTCTCATTTTCTCCTGTTGCAGTTTTGGTGCTGTTGACCTTAATGCAAGCTGCAGTTTTTGATGGTCGATTGTCATGGCCGAGAACCAGTTTTTAATAATTCTTTGCGAACAGGAAATTGATGTGGTACCATGGAAATCTTTGATTCATGAAGTTGAAAATACTCTGTATCTCTCTCTGGAATAATGACCTGAATAAATCATGTTACTATTACGATACATTAGAACTGGTTAAATTGATGAGATTGCTTTGCAAGATTGATTGCATGTGCAAGTGGAAGTTGTGTGGGTGATGATTGGCACTGATTCAATGAGAAGTCACAGAAATAGTTAGTGTCATGTGATGTTGGTTGAGGAGGTTGGACAGGACAATCAGGAATTTAGAGATGTGTATCAATACAGTGATAATTTCCAAGATATTCTGCACTATTATGAATCAAGATGGAAGAGTATATTTGAAATCAAAGGAATGTGCCAAAAGTGATGAATTGCTTTTAAGATTTCTTTGCGATTGTTCAGTGCTTTTTCAGGTGAAATTCTGGAAATTTAACAGTGTCATATATAGTTCTAGTCACTAAAAGTGTTCTGGACTTGTGGGACAGTCAGACGTGGGAAATCTAGTGATATGACAGTCGAGCGATTGAGATGGGAAGTTTATAATTTTTCTCGGTGCGCTCATACGGTTAGAAGGTACATCATGACACCCTCAATGCTCAAGCTTTGCACTTTGAGCTTGAACACAAATCCTCTTGGTCGGACTCGCCAAATATGAGTAATTCCATGCCTGATCCTTTCTTGTGCTTTTTTCATTTTCTCCCCGTGTGGCCGGGTAGAAAACTAGATTTCGGGAAGGGTTTCTTTTTCGTGTTTTTTTAGGAAAATTCATTTGATAGTCCGTTTTTGCTCTCAGTTATGGATAAATTCTGAGAAACAATGTTGGATTAGTAGGTTGAGTAATCAAAAGTTGGTTTAATTGATTAATTAAACTACAATTATAAATTAAATGGAAGCAATGTAGAACAATTAAAGTACAAAACTTCTACCCTGAGCGCACACAACTCATTTTAAATCCAAATTGGGCCGTTCTCAAGTCTAAACTAACCGTGTTGAAGTTGGATTTTCAAAAATATCAACCATATACTCAAATTCTAATCGCACCAAGATGTGGGTATTGTGACTGAAAGAGAATGATAATTGTCTTTTTTGGGATTGTTTGAATATTCTTAATAGAGTAGGTGTTGCCATGTGGATAATGTTGTGTTTGGTTGCATGGAATTGGTACTTTGGAATTGAAATTGAAGAAAATTTAATTCAAACTGGCACCAATTCTATGTAACTGAACATATCTCGAGGGATTTTTGGTTCGGATTAAACTAGCTATTTTGGTTGGTATGAAACTATTCAAGTGTTAGGATCTGGATACTGTTAGGATCGAGATGATATCATTTATTTATGACTGCAAAGCTGAAGTGAAGTGAAGTGATAGTGGTTCATGGTCTATCTAAAAGTTTGCTGAACTACAAAATGCAATATTTATGTCCTAGTTTACTGATATTGTTCACTACTTTGGAGTTGGTTTCCGTGCTATCAACTCTTGGTGTTGTTTGTAATGTCCATTTTTTCATGGCCCAGCTTCAGCCACGTCAACGCACAGTTAACCCTGGTTTTGGTTTTGTTCACCCACGGTTAAACCAAATTGTTTAAAATGTTGAAGCCAATTTGGTTTGAACCCATTTTCAAAAGTTGTCAAATAATTTGAAATCCGGTCAAATCTTCATAAAATACCTACTTTCAGGCACTATAGCCTAGTGTTCCTAAATTTGCCGCCTTCCTTCTGCCCACTGTTCCTTAATTGCCGTCTTCCTATCCCTAAATTAGGGTTAAGTGGAGTGGGGTTAAGTGGAGTGTTGACGTGGTCGAAGCTGAGCCATGCGAAAAATAAAAAGCACAAAGAGCACCAACAGCTGAGGGTACTGAATCCAGCTCCACTCTGCTCCTGCTCATAGTTCCTAATGAGCTTTCTTACTGCTTTTTCCATTAATTATCATATAAAGTACTTTCAGTTGAGTACAGTGTATAGCTTATCATTATTAATTATGCGTGGTGTAGAGAGATATTATACACACTCACACGGTGACTTTGCCATGGGATAAATTATCCACTCTGTCCGAAATATGCCACCAACAGAAGGCTTCCACGTGGATAGAAAATCTTGTGTCTAAACTTTAGATATGGGGTCTAAGCCTCCGATGAGTGAGCGACGTGGCATATCTGATGCCAGAGACTTTTCTATTGTAAAATTACTTGAACATCCTCACATTCTAAAAAGTCGTTTCTAAATAGCTCTCAAAGTAACAATTCTACTTAAAATGGCTAAAGAGGTGTGCTACACCAAAGGATCATAATACATCATTTATCTTTTTCCATTTTCTTTTTAAGCAAATGGTCCTATATTTCTGATACTAAATTGGTATATTTGTTGACAGATTATTTTTTGAAGACTAAAATATATTGTAAAAGTATATCATGATTTTTTATAATATATTTTAATTTGAAGTTGCACCGGACAATGATGCTAATCTCTATCAACCTACTTTCATGGTAGGGATTAATTTTCATAATTGAACATGTCAATGTAGGAGTTTTGATAGCATAATATCTAGAGTTGGTTTTAAATTATTGGTTCATAACATAATATCATTTCTCATATCAATTAAGAATATTTTTTATTTTTTATTTAAAAAGAATAACAAGTTGACTAAATATTACATTATCTAATTAAAAAATAATAATGCTATTTAGTGTGAAAAACCAACACCAACAGTAAGACAATTATAGCAATTGTGACCATTGATTTTTCTCACTTGAGCAATCCTCGTAAGAGCTCTTTTATTTTTTTTATTTTTAACTTAGATGCATTAAATAATTTATTTGACTTTTCACGTTATAGGTTCAAGAGAAAGCTAAAAGAATAAATACAACTCACTCAAAATAAAAGAATAATTAATAAGAATAATTTAGAGAAAGGCTTGTATTACTCGATGATCCTTATTGAAGGTCTATACCTTTATTTATATACAAAAAGATGGTCGATTTATGGTAGCACTTGCCTTGCTTGTCCTGCAATAAATTTCATATATCGTTGTTTACTTTATAAAGTTCTTTCCTTCTATAATTCTTTCTCTGTAAGACTCTTCCCATGCAGGGCTTCCTTATATGAAGAATCTTTTGTCAAAGGGGACTCAGTTAATCTAAATGGGCCTGGATTATAATGTAAATGGGCCGGATGAACCTTTAGCAGGCTGGGAGGTTTGTACTAGCCATCTTGGACCGATTGTGACCTTATTTGGGTTTGGCCATAACTGAGCTCTGATGGGTTATAAGATTGTACCTTTTCTTTTAAATGATATGGATGATTCTTATTAGAGGGGGATTTTTCCCTTCACACTTTGCCCCCAATTCCCTCCTAAATTGTACTGCAGTTCCTAATTAGAAGGGAATTGATTTTGTACCAATTTTTGCAAGAGACGGTTCAAGAAGTGACCATTGACATTCTGACCAAAGGACTTCTTCAAAACTTGCTCTTGCTTTTGCTGCGTTTACTGATTTCTTTGCTTCATTGTGATACCAAGTTAGTTCCTCATCTACCTTTCTAATTTTGTATCATGAGCACTTCACCCACTCACAACCACATAGAAATTATGGACTCTGATTCTACGCCTTCGTCATCTCCCGTTTTGCTTAGAATTCCTCCTCCTAGGCTTTCTAATCCTCTTGAATCTGCAAATAATTTTGCCATACAAATGGATGGCTCTGTACCCCAAGCAGAAGTATCTACTTCTGGACCAGATAATATTTTCTCCAAAAAGGAAAGAGAAATGATTCTATCTGTCCGGCGTATCAAGTTCACCATTGATTTCATAATGGAGGAGTTTGAGATCCCCGAAGGGGTGGAGATTGTTGAATACCCAAGAAATACCGATTTTAGTTCAGGTGAGGGTGTCGGAGAGAATGAATTGCTTTTGTTCGTTGGGCACCTTCATGCCCTTCGTTTTCCCCTTCATCCCTTTTATCATTTGGTCTTCAATAAGTTAAGTATTGCCCCCCTTCAAGTAAACCCTAACTTTTTTTCGAATAGTCTCGGCTCTTTTTGTTTGTCGAAGGCTAGAGAGTCTTGATTTGACTCTCGTTGATTTGTTGATCACTTATACCATCTCTAGACACTAGACCGAGCTCGGTCGTTACTATTTTACTTCCTCTCTTCAATAGAGGATATGTATAGACCTCTCCACTTCCGAGAAGAGATGAAAGAGAGGATGATTATTGTCAAGGGGAATTGGCCTGTGTTTCAGTCAAACAAACTCCCTATTCCCTGCAAATTTGGGATATTAGGTATAAAGGATTTACCTTTTCTTTATAAAAAATGTTCTGGTTGCTTTCCTTGTCAAGTTTTACTTTTTCGTCATACTTACGAATTTCTTGGTGTTTTTTCAGCAACATTCCCTTCTTTTGTAGCTAGGAACAGGCTTGCCTTCCTTGAAGAACAAGTTTGGAATGATCCCCCTTTCGCAAAAGACCTTTTTCTTCTTCTAATCTTAAAGAACTCGCTTCTAGTGCTTTAGCTGCTGACCTTATAGACTTGTCACTCCCTTCCTTCGATTGTTTTCCTCTTACTGATGAGGAAAAGAAGAGGGCTGAAGCTCTTAAAAGAAAAGCAACAGAGGATCAATTGCTTACGGTTATTCGTTTTAATGAACAAGAGAAAGAAGTTGAAAAGCTTCATTTGAAGAAAAAACCCAAAACAAATTCTTTTTCAACGAGCAAGAGCAATAGCATTAACCTTGCAAAGGATAAAGGGAAAAAAACTAATGAAGCCGACCCTGAGGAAGAAGTCAGGGCTTTCATCTTGGCAGAAGCAGGAGAAGCTTGGAGGCTTACCTTTTCTAGGGTTGATAAGTCAGTCCTTCACTCTGGAAATTCAATAATTACAGATCTTTTGCAGCATTGGCAGTGGCTCGAGGGGTATGGCTGCCCAGAGATGAAGAAATAATGGGAAACATGGGGTTGGAACAACTTCTTCCTTCTGCACCTGTTTGTGCTATAGAGGTTCGGTTTATCCCTTTGTGATACCCCCGAATTTCCGAATGCGGGTTGGCCAGGCCCACGCCCGAATACCCGAGGATATCAAAACAAATTGATAATAAACGAACACAGAGTAC